CTCGCAGCTTCTAGGAAATGTTGCTTACTGTGTCGGGATGACGTTACAAATTTATGGCGTTCAATAAAACGGAGATGTAATGACCGCAAAAAGTCTTTCGAGAAAACCACTTACTTATCGCAGTTTTGACAATGCAACTGGTCAATCGAACACGAAGACGTGTATCCATTTTCGTGGAGCTTCAGAAAGATGTCTTGTGCAATTCTTAAACAATTATCATATAAGCTTGACACCAAATTAAATGATAAGAGAAACTGAAGGAGCCGTCAGAGTACACAGACGCACTCTAACGCAGACTTTCAAAACTCAGCCATCGTAAAAATCGGCACAAAATAATCACATCCAGAGGCGAAGCATCATTGGAAAGTCTTAACTCACTCAGTCTGCTGCGATGTTGTTGTTCGCCCAAATATGTCAAACTCGATATTGAACCACTCATAGATCTTCTTATGGATTACATGGTATCTATCGCACACCTCCTTGGGCGTTACACCTTCTTGTAGTGCCTAAATTATAGGCATAGCTAATCAATTCATAAATTGAATCAGAAACACCCACCTTTGTTTCCGTAGCAGTTCCGTATTCGTCTGTGCCACAAATGTACAGCGTTTCATGTCCACGCATGCGGCAGTACCTATAGAAGACAGCTAGACCGACAAAAAGGGTGCCACAAAAGACGACACTTTTCTAGCGCATATTTATGAAAATCAAAAGTTGAAATACTGAAAGCGTGAAAGCCAGTTGACCGTTGCATACCTCGCAAATACGTCCGCACTAAGGACGCATCCAATGATATTACCCAGATGCGGTACATTATTCACGTAGGGAAGAGCAGAGGTGATCAAGATGTTTCTCTTTCCCTTCACCGGCACGCGCCTGAAAAAGGTGCCTTTGAAATTCGTTGGTCACTAATTTTTATAACTCGAAAAAAATTGTAAGTCAACGAGAAAGGATTCGTAATTGTAACGCAAGCGCTAGTATTTGAATATGCTGGTAGACTCACTTTTCCTTGGGTGTTAACTCGAGAAATGTTGGACTCTGGGCCCACGCTTCTCGGATTTGAGCAGCATGCTGCGGCTCCATATTACCTGAAATTCTCCAACAATTATATAAAGCAGGTTACAGATAGGTGGCTTTTTAGGACAAAAAAAGTTACGTGGCCCATTCCAGAAAAAGGTTGATGAGCACGAAATGCTCATCTTGTTCATCTATGTACATATCCCTGTCGAACTTTTGGAACGTTTAATTGTGTCACAATATTGTTCGTAACAAAAGGCGGCGCGGGCCTATTCCAGTTAGGAGGGGGGCATTGCGGTGCACAGTCTGCTCTTGGCTCAAGGAGTCCTTTAAAGTTACGAAGTGCTATCAGCTTTTTTCCTACGTTGTTTCTTCTGGTTTTTTGTATAATGTATGTGTTCTTGTGCTTTGTAACAATAACGTGTGAAAAGTAATATTTACCTAGTGATCAGCTAGGACTAAGCCTAGGAAGAGGGAGGAAATCCCTCAAGAAAGCGAAGATTGCTCACGAAGCCGGGCTTTTCCCTCCCTTCTAAGGCTGGTGTCAGAGTCCGCGATCCTTTGCGCGATTTTCGCGATTTGCGCGACGGGTCACGGAAATCACAAGTGCCCCATCCATACTGCAAGGTGTTCTCCAATCCCGCCGTCGCTTTTGCTTGATGGTTATGGTTTAATGAGGACTGCTCATGATTCC